AACAGCGTTGTCTGCCATTACCCTTGAATCCCTAAGTCATCTGTCCCCTGCCTGCCTCTCTAACTTCATCTTGTGCCGTCCTCCTCTCCTCCCACTGTGCTCCACCCAGATGGGTTTTGTTTCTGTCCTGGAACACCATAAGCTCTTGCCCTACCTGGGTCCTCTGAGTGCTGTCTCTCTATGTGAGATGCTCCCTTCAGCCCCACCTTGCTCTTTGTAAGGTGAGCTCCTTTACAACACAAATGCCCCTTCCTAAGAGAGGCCAGCTCTGTCATTCCCGGCCACTGCACTCTCTTTGTCTCCATCAGAACATTTAACTGCAGCTGGTAGTTTTATGCATTGATGTATTTACTTGATTTAGTCCATCTCCTTTACTAATCTGTAAATGAAGGCAAAGACCACACGTACCTTGTTCACAGTTGTTTTGCCAGGATCTAGCACAATGTCTCGGGCATAATTGCTACTCAGTAAGTATTTGTTGAATAAATGAGTTAGTATTTATAATAAACCATGAGCTGATAGTTATATTTATTAACTATCATACCATACATAGCTTGACAAAGAAAATTGGAATGTTTTTTGATGCGGGGTCGGTGAGCCGAGGAGTCGAAAGAAAGATTTCTTAGACTCTCAAGATCTGGCAGTAGTGCTCTTTTATTTAGAGAATAGTGTGGAATAGCATGGGGACAGGACCCACGGGCAGTCAGAGCTCCTGCTGCTGCCCTGAGTTGAGGGTTAGGGCTAAATTTAAGGCATGGGTATGTGAGTCATCTCTTTACAAGACAAAGGAAAAAAAGTTAAAATGGTACCAGTGCCGGTAGGGTCCGGCCGTTGGGCGGTCCCACAACTTTTAGATAAGAATCAAACCGGATTGAGTAAATGGCAGAAGTCACCGCTCAAATATTATCTTCAGCTAAAGACAAAGGAGGATTTTGGGGTAGGGGGTCAGTTACATGAGGTTGCCAGACAGTAAACAACTTAAGTTCTTGCCGTCCCCATTAAGAGTTTCCAGAGATAAGGCCATCCCCCCTTCCTCCTGGTGCAGAGAGGGAGGCATGGAGATTCCCTTCACAAATGCAATTGTCTCTGATCAAAGGGCAAACAAATTCCACTCCTCAGAGCCTGCTTCTTATCTCTAGTTTTAAAAGTAACCAGCCTAAAAATCCTCGTCATAAACCGTTTTAAAATTAAGCAGCCTAAAAATCCTCATCATTTTTGTTAACATGAAGGAGGTTTGGCAAGTCAGACATACAAGTGAATCTGAACTTGCATCTGGGTGGATGCTAAACCAGGGGTGGAGGACATGGGGAGAGGGAGGGCAAGGAAGGACAGGGGATGGAATGTTACTGCCCAAGGGGGGTCCTCTGCTCGCTGCAAGACATGCCAATAGTCAGGAGGCAAGGTGGTAGGAGAGAAAAGACTTTTTATTACAGCTTGCCAGCAAGAGGGAAGATGGCTGACTAATGTCCGAAAGAACCATCTTACAGAACAAAGACTACAGACCAGTTATATAGGGGGCTGGTCTCTAGGTGGGTCCTCCATCTGATCTCCGGGTGGGGGCAGACATCTGGTCCTGGTTCCTGATAGTCCTTTGTTTTACTAAATATGCATCAGAGAATGGAGCCCTATACCCTGATCTTTCAGTTGTCATCTATGATGGCCATCAGCATAGGCTCTCTGCCTGGGAGGCCATCATATTCCTAAGGAACTTAAAGGAACAAAGTTATCGACTTTCTAAAGCTGGGGGTGTGGGGGGGGCCATAAAATCTGCCGATCGATCGATCGATCGTGTCTGGGCTAGTTAATCAGAGGTCATTTAAAGTTACAATGTGGTTTCTTTTCTACAATATGGCTTCTCTTATGTCACCCTTGTGTTGAGCCAGTATCAGGAAGATCCAAGGCCAGAGATTGGGATAAAAGGTAGGAAAGATGAGGGAGCAAATGCCATTTAGAGTACTTAACCTTTAATTTGTGTTCTCCCAAGACCTTTATCTTAAAGATTTCTATTTGCCATGCTTCAAACCTGTAAAAATTAATGCGATTGAAGGATAAAAATATTCAGCCTCAGGGTTAATTTTGTGAAGTCACTGGGGTCCTGCATTGGTTTCCTATTGCTGCCATAACAAATTGTCACAAGTGCAGTGGCTGAAAACAGCAGATATTTACTCTCTTGGAGTTCTAGAGCCCAGAAGTCTGAAAAGAGTCTGTGGGGCTAAAATCCAGATGTTGGCAGCTTCCTTCTGGAGGTTCCAAGGGAGAATCTGTTGCCTGCCTCTTCCAGCTTCTTGTGGCTGCCGACCTTGCTTGGTTTGTGAAACCGGCAAATGGCCATTGATGATTAAGTGTCTAGGTACTAAAGTTTTTTCCTTTTTGCAATTACTGATTATAGCTTTTAGCTGTTTAACCCACCTATCGTTAACTGTATTGCTTAGGCAATGTGCTGTCTGACTCCCACTAGACTCCTAGAGATAACATCTTCCTGGAACCTGGGTCACCATGGTAATGGGGGTGTGAGCTGTTTTTCAGGAATTAGAATTCCTTGTCCACTTCAGGCCGGTTGAGACCACCAACTCATCAACTAGGCCCGAGCAGATGTCCGATAGGCGACCTTTTTATGTGAAGAGGCTAAAAACTCCACCCTCAGATCATGCTAACGCCACCATTTTGTGAACATGGGTCCTAGGAAGAGGCATGAAGTCTAAGCTTGCACAGATCATCAATTACCTCACCTCCAATCACCTCTCTCCACATTTCAGACCACCTGGCCCCCCATCCCATAAATATCCCTGAGTCCCTATTTTCTGGGAAGTGAATTTGAGGCTCATGCTCTCGCTTCCTCATGTGGCTGCCTTGTGATTAAACTCTGTCTCTGCTGCAATCTCGTCGTCTCAGTGTTTGGCTTTCTGAGCGGCCGGTAAAAACGAACCAGGTTGGGTAACACTTGTGTTGCGTCACTCCAGTCTGGTTCCATGACCACATTGTCTTCTCCTCCTGTGTAGTCAAGTCTCCTTCTGTTACCGAACCTGAAGTGAGTTCGCTCACCCGTTGCGCAGCAAGCCAATCTCTGACACCGGGGGTGGTGGAAGAAAGTAGGAATTTTATTTTTTGCACAGCGCCGAGCAAGGAGAGAGGGCAGCTAACGCTCAACTCCCAAACTCCCCGAAAAGCTAAAAGGAAGGGTTTTTATTTGGGGCTTTAGGTAGGGGAGGGGGAGCATATGGCCTTGCTGGTCGGAGCTCTCCCACCAGCCTGTCTTTGGCCTTGAGACACTTGCAGAGAGGAGGAAGCCTGTGATCTTGCTGGTCAGCAGCTTTCCCACCAGCTCGTATCTCTTTGTGGGGAGGAGATGGTCCAGGTGCTTGTCCTTGATGGTGTCTGTCTCCATGGAGGATAGCGAATTCTGGAGGCAGGAAGCCAGAGAGTAAGCAGGGAATGAGTGTTTTGGTTTTAACCCCATATATGCTGGGTTTAACGTGGGGAAACTGATACCAGGGTCGGTATCACCTCTGCTTCCCTCTTGTAAAGACACACGTGATTACATTTAGGGCCCGCCTGAATAATACAGGATAATCTTCCTGCATCAAGGATAATCTCCCTACATCAGGATCCTCATTCACATCTGTACAGTCCCTTGGCGATATAAAGTAGCATTCACAGGTTCAAGCGGTTAGGATGTGGATATCTTTGAGGGCCATTACTCAGTCTGTTGCAAATTTGAATTTCTATCCAACTGCCCTTTAAAAAAACAGGCACTTTATGTTTGTTTGGGGTTTATTTTTAGAACTCCAACAGGTTCTTTATAATTGTGTTTTTCTTCAGAGCTCCAGCAATTTTCAGTGCTAATCAAACTTCAGCTCTGAGTATCGTGCCTCTCACGTCTCAGAAACCCAAAACTTTTTTTACAAGAAAGAGAAAGTTTATCATAAGCCAACAAAACAACTTCAGTTTTGTTTTACGTCAGGCACCTTCAGTGAAACTAAACTTAAGTATTTGTCTAATTAAAGGTTTTCTTTAGAGATGTCAAAAGATAAAACTTCCAGAGATTTCTGTTAGGCAAAGTGGTGAGCAACATATGTTTTATTATGTTTCTGATCTTAACAGACCTGGTCTCACATACCTAGACAAGGTAGAAATTCATCATAGGGACTTTTCGCTTTAACTCGACAGAACTGGTGCTTGAAAATCAACTAAAATGGAATTTGCCCTTTAGGCCATTATCTCATAACCCTGAAAACCTGTTAAACTGCATACCCCAGGTGAAAGCAAATTACTCTTAAGAAAGAACTTCAGTGGCCACTCCCTGAAGGCACGTAATTTGAGGGTCTGAGTCCAGAGCCTCGAGCTGCCCTTTGAAGGAGACCCTCTCAGGCCATGCAGGGAGGAAGGTACTGGAAAGAACCCATCTTCTCAGCTCATTTGCAGTGGACATGAATTAGTTCCTTTCAGCTCAGTGCTGTCCAAATAGAAATATAAGCATTATGCTTAAACATGTAATTTAAATTTTTCCAGTAGCCACATTAAAAACAGCAAACAGAACCAGTGAAATTAATTTTCATGCAGTTTATTTAATCCAGTACACCCCAAATATTATCATGTCAACATGAAGCAATAAAATAATTATTGAGAAGTTTTACATTCTTTTAAAATGTTTTCGTATTAAGTCTTAATTCTGCTGTGTATTTTACACCTCCAGTGTATCTCAGTTTGGACTGGCCACATTCCGAGTGCTCAGTAGCCCCGGGGAGTGTGTGCCTTCTGTATTGGGTGACTAACAAAGCTTTACTTGGTCAGTAGTCATTCTTTGCTATCACAGATGCATTCTTACGCCTTTATATACTCTCTGGTTTTTTGCATTTTCACTGATTAGATTTCTCGTTAGCTGTAAATCTTTGTTGTTTTTTTCTTTAATGGGAAATGGGAGCTCTCTCTTAAGGGGTGGAAGTTGGAGGATAACTCATGTACTAAAAATGAGATGAAATGGTTTTTATTCCTCTGGTTAGCTTCACAGATGCTCTCTTTGACCTTCACAAAGATCTCCAAGTCCCAGAATGTGACCTTGGCCTGCAAAACAGCACTTGAGAAAGGCTGATGGAACCCCATCGCGACTGCCCCAGCAAAACCCCCCTGCCTCCTAAGGCAGCAGTAACACCTTCTCAACACAAGGTCAGGGGCAGATTTTGGAACAAATTTGCTTTCTATTATCTGGGATTCCTCAGTCTCTGCCTAAAGAAATAGTCCTGAACTGGGATTCAGGAAACCTGGCTTTATTAGCTAGTTGGGAGAGGGAGACCTTGGGTAACTTAGATAAATTCTCTAAGCCTCAGGGCACTGACTAGTCAAATAATGAAGTCAGAATAGATCAGTGTTTTTCTAACACTAAGCAGTGAACTCATTTTCCAAACAAAACTTTACAGGGAGTCCCAGTGCATTAAACAGATCCAGTGGAGCTACTCTGATAGCAGTAGGCAGGGAGTTGTAGGAGATGAGGGTACAAACAGGAGCAAAATGGACCAGAGTCTCATTGCCTCAACCTTCCATTTGCATCTGAGGCACAGTTTGAAAACCTGGATGGATCGTCTCCACTGTAGCTTTCAGCATTAAACAGTCTAATTCTCTGTTATTCTCCATTGTACTCTATCAGCCAATGCTCTCAAATAACAAGCTGTAGGCTAAACAAAGGAGGTAGGAGATCATTCCCAAGGAGGTTCAAGGCTGGCGTCGGACTTGCATAGGTTCTAAGCACTTCTTCTTTGAATCCCCACTACCCTGCCCCATAGCATATCAAACACATGGTTTTCTTTTGGTATTTGAGAGACAGTTTTCTCGGGTCTCAAACATTTCTGAAAGTCCTTAAAAAAGTCAGAGACTGGGGCCTGGCCCCGTGGCCAAGTGGTTAAGTTCGCATGCTCCGCTGCAGGCGGCCCAGTGTTTCGTTGGTTCGAATCCTGGGCACGGACATGTCACTGCTCATCAAACCACGCTGAGGCAGCATCCCACATGCCACAACTAGAAGGACCCACAACTAAGAATATACAACTATGTACCAGGGGGCTTTGCGAAGAAAAAGGAAAAAAATAAAATCTTTAAAAAAAAAAAACACTCTGACAAATAAAAATGGCAAGTAACAGGATATATTGGAGTATATGAGGAAGCCATTTTGTGTGAACCTAATTCGGCCTGACCTTGTCTTTCCAAAAGGGCCTGACTGAGGGAGGCCGTTGAGCATGCATTGTATATCTGCTTTAGAGATTCCCTATGGCAAGAGCAAAGGCCCTTGAGATAAAGGTGCAACTTCTCTCCCCCCCAACGTTGGCATCTCCTTAAAGATTAAGCATCTTTCTTTAGGCTGGGAACGGATTGCAGCGCTCATCTGTGACCGCCCAGCCCGAGGCAACACACCTGCCACCCCGCAGCGTTCACTGAGACAGCAGACCTATCTGCCGTTTCCATCAATCGCTGTGCTGACAGAGCAGCCTCGTGACTATTGTAAAAGGGACATTTCAATCATATGTGAAACATACTCTTTGAGGGTATATAACCACCTTGTATACCCCCACTTCTTTGGAGTTGTCTGTTCCTTTGGGGAAGGACTCTCCTGGGTTATAATCCTCAGATTTAAGCTCAGAATAAACTCACCCAAATTTTCATTTATATATTGGTTATGGATTATTTTTCATTGACAACTCAGAGGCTGAAGGTACTGTGCCTTGGGTGCTTGATGAATAAATAGCCTAGAGGAAGATGTCTCAGTGTCATGTCTCCACAGGTCCAATTTTCTTGATTTCCAGTGATGAAACATGATGGAGCAGAACTGGCCAATGTGCAAAACCAGAAATAACCAGAAGAATAAAAATAGAATGTGTAACTTTTGGCTATTTATTATGGTTTCCATCTCTGCTGAAATTCCCTCGTGCTTTTTGTCTTCCTTTTCCACTAGATCCCTTAGCATATTAGTCATAGTTATTTCAAGTCCCTTTCTGATAGTTTGAACGTCTGGGTTATCTCTGAATCAGGATCTTTGATAGCTTTATGTCTTGACAATGTTTTTTCCCCTTGATTTTTGTGTATCCTATAATTTTTGATTAAATGCCGGTCATTGTGTGTAGAATCACAGTTGAGACTGAGATAAATAGCCTTTATGTCCAGAAATGGGTATACTTCTTTTTCTGATAGGCCTGACGTATCTGACAGATATGTCATAGACAGGTCGTAGATAACTCAGTCTAGTTAGAAGTTGAGCTGAGTTTGGTACCTTCAGTGCACTACAGGATTTCTGTTCAATAAGGACAATCTAACCAAAGGTAATAACAAGTTGATGAATTGGGAGAAGATATTTCCAATATCCAACATTAGCAAGTACTACATATGTAAAATATACAAGAAACCACTTCAAATCAACAAGAACAAAAAGATAGGAAACTGAATAGAAAAATGGGCAAAATATACCTGTAGACAATTCTCAGAAAAGGATATCAGAATAACTAACAAGTATATGAAGACATGCTCAATTGTGCTAGTCACAGAAATGAATATTAAGATACCAGTTTTCACCAATCAGGTTGGCAAAAATTAAAAAGTCTGATGACATTGAGTGTTGACAAGGATGTGGGGAAGAAAAAGCCCTCAGGTGCTGCCAGCACACATGTAAATTTGTGGGCAGGTGATCAACATTCAGTGAAATTAGGTCAGCAACCCATTCCTGGGTATATGCCTCTGGGAAGAAGCTCTTGCACAGGACCCAAAAGAAATATTGCTCAGCACATATTAGGCACTCAATAAATGCATATTGATTGAAAATTTGAAGGTATTCATTGCAACACTGTTTTTGGTAAGTGGAATTGAGGCAACCCAATTATCCATTACTACAAGTACAGGAAAGTAAAACATATGTGAAGGATGCATTTGAGCATAGCTAGCATTGGTCAAATTATCACAGTGTGCCGGGCAGTTTTTTAAGTGCCTTGTGTATTCACAATTATCTTCACAACAATGCTAAAGGTATTTGTTTTACACAGAAGAGATTAAGTCAGATTAAGCAGGAGATCATTCAAACAATAAGAGGCAGACCTGGGTTTGAACCCATGCATCTGGCTTCAGCAGCCAAGCTCTGAACCGCCTGTGATAGGGGCTGACTGCCTTCTGTACTATTTTTCTCTACGGGCAACCTGCCCCATGGTCTGACCATTCCCACCTCCCCAGCCAGCCCTTTCTATTACAACCTTCTTTTTCTCTTCAAGGGGAAACAGTTTCCTATTTAGCAGATAGGAGCATAACTTAACTAGGCTCCAAATGCTTCTACATAATTAGTGAAACAGTATCTTCCAAGGCCTTTCAAATCTTTAATGGTCCTGTAGGGACGAGCTGGGCCCTCAAGTAGCCTCTTTCCTAGTCTTCTTGACTTTTGTTTTCAAATAACGAGAGACAATATTGTGATTCCTTCTTCCAGGTCCCTTTCCCCGGGGGTGCAGGCACACTCAGCCCTAACAGGATTTTTTGGAGAGACTCATTGTGTATTGTTGTGTATGCCAACAGTCTTTAGACGCCATGAATGTGAATCATTGCATTGGGCTGCCATGCTATGATCGTCAATCATAGCTTTGGGCTGCCATGTAGTGAGTCCCTCAGAGGCAACTTAGGTTGGAGGACTATTTTTGCCTACACTAAAAGACCCAGACTACTAAACTTTGCAATTGTTTTGTCTTATTTTCATAAAATTTTCTATCTTCTCCTGTATGTATTTATTGTCTCTATTAACCCTGTCTCTTTTATCACCTGTCAATGTGTTTCCCCTTTGCAGCATTCTTGAACTGCCCATCATGTTGGTCAGTTGTGGCTGGGAAATTAGATGACCCAGCTTGGTACAATTGTGCCTAAAGAAGAAGTCATTCGGTCCTGAGCCAAACACTGAACGACTGTGTGTATGAGCTCAGTGGAAACTATTTTCAAATTTAAATTCAGACATTTGTTGAGTCATTAAGTGCCACACACTAATGGCCTGCCCTGTGCTGTTTCTTACTTCTTCCTCAGGACCACCTGTGAGTTGGGGAAAAGTGTCCCCATTTTGCAGACACTGAAGCTCAGGGAGGGTAGGGGCCTGCCAAAGGTCAAATAGTTAAAAGATTGCAGAGCTGGGATTCAGCCCAGCTCTCTTGGCACAACTACCCCAAAGTCCTCCATTCTTTTTTATTGTTACTGATTTCCATGCTCTAAATTGCCAGTTAATTAACCCCTACTTAAATGGAGCATTTCTGTATTTAATTTCCTTTTTTCTAAAAACAAGTTACCTATAATTTGAAACACTCTTACTTTATTCAGTGGCCTAGTAGAGATTAATTAGCAAGTGGAAATTCCCTGCAAGGAAAAAATCACTTTATAACAAGAAACACAATTCAGTTCTTTTCAAGCAAAGCTGTTTCCGCTACCCTGGCTGTTCTATCTGGAATGAGGAGTCCCCTTTGGAGCGGGTTTGCTTATCGACTTAGCAAACACTTATCTGGTGCACTGGGTACTAGTCACCTTTACAAATATTAACTCAGTCCTACAGTAGAAACTAGTAATACCGTTCACATCTTACAGATGAGGAGACAGCTTCAGAGGGATCTATTTTAAGCGGCACAGGCAAGATTTGAAGGCTCGAAGTTTGTGTCTAGAGTCCGGAGGTGTAAGCACTGCACCACAGTTTCTCTTTGGCTGACTCACGTTCTGAGCCACGCCAGGCAAAGAAAAACAATGGTAAATAAGAAGAGACAGAAGCAGGGAGGAACCAGGAGAACGTTCTCTGTCGATTGGCTGAAGGAGCTGCGAAAGCACAGCAGCCTCAGAGGAAACCGCCCTCAGTGCCTGCATCAGCTCCCCAGCTGTGCAGGCGATCATCGCTAGGGGATCAGAAAGGGAGAGGGGCCCGCAGTCTGCTGGCTGACACTGCTTCGGTCTGAAGCACTTTTGTGTGGAGAAGGAACATGTTAGTCTTTTGGATAACCTATAGCAAAATGACTGCCCACTCTGGCTTTTCTCTCTCAGACCACCTGCGTGACATTTTAGAGGAAGGATCAAGGTGTGTGTGTTTAGAACACCTTAGACTTAAGTGGAGCAGAAAAAGATAGCTTTTATAAGGAAATGGGCTGATGCGTTTCTTTCATAGTCTTGAAATAGAGAAAAAAAGAATTGCATTTTGCTTACGTTGTTAGGGTTTATAGAATGAAAAATACTCTCAATTCTGCCTTTATCCACAGAGGGGAGCACAGGGGTTATGAAAACCCAGCTCTAAGCACAATGTAATCAAGTTCTACCCTTCACAGTCTGGTTCCGATGTCTGTGGATTATCCCCACTTCTTGCTTTCCATTTCACTTCTCTCTTGGTTCCAGCCTTTGGATGAGTTAGGTCACAGGAAGAAGAATGGGGGAAAACTGAAAAGATGACAAATTAGTTCATAAGTTTCCTTTTTAAAAGTTCTTGAGGATGAGCATTTCCAACAGGATCCTGTGGTGGTAAGGAACAGAGGCTCACTAAAGTTTGCTGGGAAATTCAGAAAATCCCAGAAGCCCCAGGACCAGGTCTCTCTCTTAGCATCTCTACTTTCCTCCTCTCTCTCGCCTCATCCCCCGCACCCTTCCTTTTCCTCTCTGTCTCAGATCATCCTGTTTCTCTCTGCCCATCTACTCTATCCTCTTATCTCCACTGACCAACTTCCCTATCCTCTCTTTTATAGAGCATAGACTTTACTTCCTCATAACATTAGCTTTTGTGTGATTTTTGAATCAGTTTGACATCAGAGCATCCCTTTACTTCAGCTCAGTCTCTCAGTTTCCCAGTTCCTAATTCCCACAAGAGCCGTATGAATGGCCCATCTTTCCCAGACAGGCTGCATACCTTTAGGCAGGTTGTCCATGGCTCGTCAGCTGCGGCAATTAGTATAAAACGTGTCAGCTTCAGCTAATA